GCAAAAAAAAATTAACGCCACTAATTATTTTAACGCGATTAACGCATGTGTATTTTTTGTCCTCGGCCGCCGTAGTTTCAGAGCGCATCGAGTTTAAAATACCATCTACAAGCTGATGCTGACAGCCCCGCTCCTGCTGCCCGCTTGTGGCAGACCACACTTCCACGCTCACCGGCAGGCCCGGACTGGCCATCGGGAGGACCGGGAGGGTGTGTGTATGTGTGGCGCGAGCGAAGCACACCTTACGTGTTGTTGTTAGCATCTGGTGCTAGCTAGCTGAGCTAACGGATATAAGGAGCTGTTTCAATGAAAACAGAGGAGCGACATTTCGCCGACAACTGCGCCGAGCACTTGACTTTATGCAGGTAGCCAGACAGCACACTCAGCACGGATAGTGCCGCAACACAGCTCATACACACAGGCATATATGCCTTGAGCTGCACATAGCTCCAACGATCCTCCACATTCACACACACACACACACACACACACACACACACACACACACACACACACACACACACACACACACACACACACACACACACACACACACACACACACACACACACACACACACACACACACACACACACACACACACACACACACAGTATTGTATGAGAGAGGTTCTAGGTTGAATTGAGGCGAATATTTGTAATGTTCAGAGGTTGTTGTGTTTAATATTCATGAGAATATTTGTCATTGTTCAAATGATAATAAACAAACATATAAAGCATAGTTGTACACTCATATGTTGATAAGAGTATTAAAAACTTGAAAAATATCCCTCTAAGGTACATTTAGAACAGATAAAAAATGTGCGATTAATTTGCGATTAATCGCGATTAACTATGGACAATCATGCGATTAATCGCGATTAAATATTTTAATCGACTGACAGCCCTAATGAATATTTGTAATAATTTCAACCAAAGTCAATTTAAATAGCGGGCAAAAATGGGTTAATTGCCATGGATGTGGTGTTTGATATAGTTTACGTTCAATTTCTATTTTAGAATTTAAATTTGAAATGTTTGCACCAAACATTAATTTATACATTTATATCAATTGTTTAAAATTATGAATCCATTTATTTTATTGTATTTCCTTGAGGCTGGGGAAGATATCCAGCATGTAGTTCAACATGCAAATGTTCTAATCAGGGTTCATACACTTATTCACCAATGCTTCTCAATGACTTCTCCATGACCTATACCTAATTTTCCATGACCAAAAACATTACTCTGTCTCAGCGGTACCACTGAAAATGGTTTATTTTAACATGGAACAGGAAAATAGGGTCTGAAACATGTTGTCCCTATCTAAAACAAATCCAGGCTTACTAGCTTCTACACGCTAAAGCAACTAAAATCTCTCACCAGCAAAATACCTCATCAGTTAAATGCCATTTTACGTTTCATTACTATACGATACAGTATTTATTATCATTATAGTATTACTATTTTGGCGAATAGATAAAATATAAATTATATTTGATGCAATTTTAGTCACATTTCCATGACTTTTCCAAAACTTTGGGGAAAATATTGTTTTCCATAACTTTTCCAGGGCCTGGAATTAGCATTTTGAATTTCCATGACTTTTCCAGGTTTTTAATGACCGTAAGAACCCTGTCTAATACAAGTAAGTGTAAGTATAATGGAAAAGTAAATAAAAAAAGTTTCATAGGAGGATGTGGAATTATTTTCTCTCACCGTACACAATCAAACAATCTATAATTTAGCTCTGGCCTTCACTCACAAAAAAACATTTAGTTGAATTGGACACATTTTTCGAAGCTCTGACATGCAATGACTGGGACTGGTGGAAGAATCTGCGAGGAATTAACTAGGAGCAGAGAAATAATCATATTTTAAAAGACAGCAGCCCCATAAGAGGCCAACAAGAGTCACAAGGGTAGGCTGAAGGATAGACCAGCTATCCAGGCCAGACTCTAAAGACTTTCCATGGTGTAAAATGCTGCTGCTGCAGTACTAGTGCTGATATCATGTCTACCATCCTCTTAAAATACTCTGTCCAACAATATAAGTCTCATGAAGAAAGGTATTTTAACGCTTATTCAAAATAGTAGAGAAACATGCATTCTAGTACTCAGGAGGGGACATTGACAGAGGATTACTAAAAAAGTACACAGTAAAAGTAATTAATTTTATTGTTGGTAGCAGTCAAAATAATACCGAGTCCAACAGTGTCAGTTTTTATTAAGAACTTGCGGTAAAAAATATTTGTAAAAAAAAAATGAAGAGCAGCTGATTTGAAAAAACAAAGTGGAGAGACGGCTGAGTGACTGCAGTGCAGAATCGCTGTAGGCTATAGTTTAAATCTCCTAACAATGTTGTCCATTTTAGACATAGACTTATTATATTTACATTACAGTCCTTAATAACATTCATTTTCTGGGCTCAATGTGTGTCTTGGCCGTTTTCGTTGTGATCGCTAAATTCACCTTGTTTCCCCTTGTTTATAATCTTATCAACGTTCCAAGCAAACGAGTGCTTTTGTTTTGAAATCACTTCCGCGAGTATCGCGGCCGCGGCCCCCCCCTCCCCCCCTCGCTACAATGACCATTAGGCCATTTAGTAAGGTAAAAAACAAAAACGCCTCACAGACACTCTTCCGTTTACGTGTTTAATAAAGAAAAACAAATGGTCCGTAGATACACGGATTCACCTCCCTCCATCATGTTGATTTGAATCAGAAGTTCTGAACATGAGCCCGCCCCGCTCGACCTTCTGAGCCAATCACAGCGCGATAATGACCTGCCTTCCGTTTCAACCATAGTCCTTCCGTTTCCACTATACTTTCTCTCACACATACATGCATTCTTCTCTTGCATACATATATTGTCTTCATACATACATACATTCTTCTCTTGCATACATATATTGTCTTCATACATGCATATATTATTTATAATATTAAATGTAAACTTTGAATGAATGTGCATGAGAGCAAAATGTATAAATATGAGCATTAAAATATATGAATATGAGATCAAAATGTAAAAATGTGTGAGTGAAAAACGTATAAATGTGTGAGTGACAATGTATGAATGTGTGCATTGAAATATGATAATATGAGAGCAGAATGTGTGAGTGTAAATATATACGTGTGTGAGAGTGAAAATGTATGTATGTAAAAGGAGAATATATGTGTGTAAGAGTGAAAATATATGTATGTAAAAGGAGAATGTACGTGTGTAAGAGTGAAAATGTATGTATGTAAAAGGAGAATATATGTGTGTAAGAGTGAAAATATATGTATGTTAAAGGAGAATGTATGTGCGTGAGAGGACCAGTATGAATTACGGCCTGTACGGCCCCTCATAGTGAACACAAATCAATAGATTACATTTATTTCGTGATTATAACACGAAATGCCGTGAGACTGGGTTGGCATATGGGGGAAAAATGGCTGCTTCCACCTCCCCATAGACCCAAACAATAGCGGAGAAAACTGTCTGTTTTCAGCTGAGTCCGATGCACTGCGGACGGGTGAGTACCGCGAATTCCGCGTGCGTAATCTCTCTGCGCAACTTTTTATTGCCGGACAACAGCCATTAAAAAAAGGTATTCATCATGTGAGAGTATGTGGTGACCAATGTTGCAGGACATGCATGTTTAAAGCTCATAAAGCGGGTCAGTGTGTTTCTTGTGTGATTTCGACTCTTTGTGATCTGTGTTTTTGTGCGTGTGTCTGAGATGACGTCTAGTATTTTTCACTGCCGCAGGATCTCTAAAAATTCCCCACAGTTGCCCAATCCTCGCCATTTTTATTGTGCTTTGATTCTTTTATAGAGGACACATTGTGCATATTTTCGCATGGTAAACTAAGAAAACGTGCTAACTTTGTGCACTGGTCCCCGGGTAATCCTATTACAATTTATCCACAGCATAATGGAAGTATCACTTTTACTTCGGGAGGTGTCACTCCCTGAACAGATACAAAGTCAAGTTTAGTTGCGTTTTTTTATATATAAATACTCGTCTGATTACGCATTGTCTCCGTTACATATCGTCCACGCGGCTCCGTCGCGTTGAAGCTTGCCGGTGGGCGTGTCTGGCGCACGACCAACAACCAATCACATTAATCACCCGCCCCGGACACACAAGCACGCGGTTTGATTGGCTAGCGCTTGTACTGGCATATGATTTGATTGGCTGGCACTTCCGTCGACGTTTGAAAAGTTGAACTTTTCTCAACTTTCAGCGCGAGCAATGAAGGCAGAGCGAAACACCGGAACCACAATGCAGTTCGGCGAAGCGTGACGTCACCCCATTCAAAGTGAATGGGAAGCGTCTCCGTTGAAGCATGCGACGGAGCCGTGTAGACGATACGGTGTTATGTATCGTAGACCTGTTCACTACCAGTCAAGTGACAATTCCTGAATCGCACCTCCTAAGAATGATTTAATCTAATTCATAGGGAGCAATTGGTAGCATTGGTGGGGATTTTTGATGGTTGATTGGTGCATGCTGCTAGGAATTTAGGATGGCATTTTCTCCTTTCCTTTGGTAAAGGATGGTCCAGTGCTCCTTATGCTAAAGGAGATAAGAAAGGAACCATTGAACCCCCTTTTCTTTGCATTTAAAGAATTCCACCATCTCTTATCATGGTATCCCAATTAGATTCTTCATGGTAATTTCAAAGTCAACTTTATTGTCAATCTTTCAGTTTGTGTGTACAGACAGAGAGATCGAAATACCGTTTCCCACAATCCCGAATACAAAAAATACAAATGTATAGACAAATATGTATATCCTATATATACACAATCAACAGACACATTTATATATATGCACACATTAAGACATAAATAAAAGCACAACAATCAATATACACAAAATAACAGTCAATATCTTTGGGAAATGTACATTAGTGCAAGATCGTCCATAACAGCGTAAATAGTGGTCATTTGAGCCAACACACACTATTTCACCGCAGCATTATCTAACTTATTTCTTCTACCTGTTTAGCGCTGGAGGTGGACCCCAACAAGGACATCGTGTGCAAGCTGTGCGGCGCCTGGTTTGAGACTCGGAAAGGTTTGTCCAGCCACGCCCACCGAGCCCACCTGCGGCCCTTTGGGGTGGAGTACTCTCCCATCGACCTACCTCATCATCAAGCTACTTCATCGTTACTCAGCCCACCTGCCAAGCGCCTCAAGTCCTCCTCCATGAGTTTCTACCGCCTGAGCAGCGGGGAGTTCAAGGCCCTGCCGCACAGTGAGTGTTGTTTTACAGGAGTTATGGTACAATACTTAACTTGAATTGGGCTTTACATGTCAGAATTAGATCCGTCATGATCTTGTCCTCTGTTTTATTTAGTAAAAGCACCTATAGCGACAGCAGGAAACAAGTCGCTGAGAGGCTGAGGCCGGGCCTGTTTGCTATTGTATGACAAAAAAAAAGTACTTGCTGAGATCGAAAATTGAAGTGAATAATAATAGAACCTATCATGCAAAATGCACTTTTGTACGTCTTTTATACATGAATATGTGTCCCCGGTGTTCCAGGGAACTCACCAAGTGTCAGAAAACACAACCCTCTCTATTTTCCTCCATACCCAAATCTCTAAAAAAGGGGCTGCAACGGATCTGATAAAAACTGATCCAGATTTGAACACTGTCCTGACGTCAGGACGGTGGCACCACGGCTATTGGGCCAACTCTCCACCTATCAGGGGAATGTGGGGTTGGGCCACGGCCGGCCATTGCCGCTCGAAAGCGCTGGAGACGCTGTAGTACATATGCCAGGCCTGTAAGTGGCGCTGTAGTCTGCCACAAAAGCAGCGAAGAAGACTTCCCGCCCATAGTTACCATGGTTACCCTTCTGTTTATTCTCCGCTGTGGCTTTTTTTCTCCCTCCCCGAGGCAAGCGTTTGCTCCCGCTGCAAACGCTTGCCTCGTTCCTTGGAAGAGGCGGAGAGGTGGGTGTTTGTCATCTGCTGGTGGACTAACCGGAGAGAATTACAGTGCTTGCCTCAACACCCACCTCTCCGCCTCTTCCAAGGAACGAGGGGACCGTGCGGCAGAGTTTCAGTTTCAGTTACTTTCGCCGGTCAAGATGTCCGTTAAAGTTTAAATCTTCCGGACAAAATTAGAAAATTGCCGGTCAAAGGTCTTTCTGTTTATTCTCCGCTGTGGCTTTTTTTCTCCCTCCCCGAGGCAATCGTTTGCTCCCGCTGCAAACGCTTGCGGGGAGGGATTGCTCAATGCAATCCCTCCCCGTCGAGGCAAGCACTGTAATTCTCTCCGGTTAGTCCACCAGCAGATGACAAACACCCACCTCTCCGCCTCTTCCAAGGAACGAGGGGACCGTGCGGCAGAGTTTCAGTTTCAGTTACTTTCGCCGGTCAAGATGTCCGTTAAAGTTTAAATCTTCCGGACAAAATTTGAAAAGTGCCGGTCAAAGGTCTTCTTTGTTATTTATTGAGCTTTAAAACAAATGAATAACGACTCTATATAATAAAACACGAAGGACGGAGATCTCTTTTTCTCCCCCTCTTCTGACAGCCCAGCAGCTGATCAGAGCACGTCTCCCCTCTCCTGCAGGGGGGCGTGGTCAGCAGAATCAGACCCGTAGACAGCAAACAGCACATAGAGCGAAATGAGGCATGGCTAAAATGCATGATCTGTTTGGTATTTCAAAACAGAAACGTATAAATATACCTTATATAGGTATGGCCCTACAATATATCATTTAAATATAGCATGATAGGTCCACTTTAATGTAAAACAGATGATCAATTTTCCTTAGACATACAGTAGACATTGTTATAATAATCAAAGCAATCCTTAAACTTGCGGTCAAAAAAAAAAATACAACGACCCTGTGTCACCCTCTCTTCCACACACAAACACCTCACACAGGTGAACAGGATTACAATTCCCCTGAGTGCCGCCCATATCCATGTGACCCAAAGCAACCAACCCATAGCGATCAAATAAATATCTTATAATAATATAATCCATTACCCAAATATAAACTAGTACAAAACAAATGTGTATTAAAACAAAATGCATTACTTTGTACGTCTCATGGCTCCTACAGCACCCTTGTGTCATGTCTACAGGATTTATGGGACAATGCTTAACATAAAGTGGGCTTCACATGTCAGAATTAGATCCATCATGATCTTGTTTTCTGTTTTATTTTGTAAAAGCACCCTTGTGTCATGTCTACAGGATTTATTGGACAATACTTAACATAAAGCGGGCTTCACATGTCAGAATTTGAACCGTAATGATTTTGTTTTCTGTTTTATTCTGTAAAAACACTCTTCTTGTCATTTCTGCTTTCCTGCCCTGATTCGATCCACCTTTGTGTGATTACCCTGCAGCCCTTTGCTGTGTCTCAATTGCCGTACTTCTGTACTTACATCTGCTATTTTGAGTGCATAAGTGTGTCCCAAATGTGAACAGTGGGGAGCTCATGGCACAGTGAGTGATGTTTTACAGGAATTTATGGGACAAAACTTAACATAAAAGAGGTTTCTCATTTCTCTAATTCCCCTCCTCCACTCCCCTCCTCGACTCCTATCCTCGTGTCTTAGTCCCGCCCACAGGAGATGCGAGTGGAGGAGTCGAGGAGGGGAACCGAGGAGAGAGGAGTGGAAGCAGCAGGCGGTTAGAGAAATGAGAAATCCTCTCCTCTGAGCGGTCATTTTAAAGAGACATCCATTAATGATGACAGGAGGCACAGCAGCACTCTGTCTGATGGACAGAACTGTGTTCATGACGACTTATATATTTACTTTTAATTAATTGACAGTGCGGTATAATGAGACAATAACAGGCTACAGATGCGGACATATACACAAACACACACCTGCATATTTATTTATATATATTTCAGAATCAAACAAGTATGAGAGCACTCTCATAATAACGTAACACTATCAGAGACTGGATATACCAGCCCCCCCCTCGCTGGTCGCTACAATGCGTAATTTAAATTATGGGCCAAAAGTTTGATTTACCAGTACTAAAAGTAAGCATAGGACACCAAACCAACTGACTCTTTTAAACATCACTGTTGCCGGAAATACATCTGCGGAGGATCTGCGGAGGATCCATCAGTGTATCCTCGCTTATAGCTCCTCGATGCTCGATCCTCGGTCCTCAAAGTGCATTTAGAGAAATTAGATGTCCTTCAAATCCATTTCCAGGTCACTACCGGAGGACCGAGGATTCGAGGAGGGGAAATTAGAAACCTTCAGTGTGGGCTTTACATTATCTGTCATGATCTTGTTTTTTTCTGTTTTATTTAGTAAAAGCACCCTTGTGTTTTACAGCATTGATGGGGCAATACCTAACATAAAGTGTGCTTCACATATGAGAATCTGTTCATCATGATCTTGAATTTTTTCTGTTGTATTTTGTTAAAGCTCTCTTCTTGTGTCATGTCTGGTTTCACTTCCAGTCTTTGTGTTTTCCCGCCTTTTTTTGATTTTATGCCCCGCCCTGATTCTATCAACCTTTGTCTGATTACTAGGGGTGGGCGGATCGATCCCAAAATATCGATACTTCCGATATTACGTTACGTTTCAAAATATCGATACTAGAGCCAATAGGATCGATACTTTTATACTTTTTTTTCTTCCTCTCCTCTACTCGTCAATTTCATCAAAAACTATGTGCAGACGAACACAAGTATATGCGCTCTTTTCTTCTCTCTCTACACTGCTGTCCTCCTCTCCTCGAAGCTCGCGCACGCGCAGCGCGCTCCCTGCCTGAATGCCGATTATCAAGCTGACTGACAGCAGCCAGCAGGGCAGGACAGCAGCAGCCAGCGACTCGCGAGTGCGACACACACGCATGATGGCTGAGAGAAAGAGGAGCGTTGTGTGGAGCTATTTCACAACTGCCAATGGAAACTTAGCGAACTGTGATGTGTGCAAGAAGGCAGTTCGCTACTGTGGCCACTTTGTATTGTTATTTTTCATGTTTACACTTTAAATTTGCAAAAATAAAACGTTTATTTTTCTATAAAAACTGTCCTGTCTTTATTCATGAAAATGAATTCAGATTTAGTCTATTTATGATGCTTTCAGCTCAAAAATCATATCATGCAGCTCTCCCCTATATGAAAGTACATAAGACGCTTTTCATTTTAAAAAGTATCGGTATCGATATCGGTATCGGCGATACTGGCCCTGAAATACTTGGTATCGGATCGAATCCAGATTTTGTGGTATCGCCCACCCCTACTGATTACCCTGCAGCCCTTTTCTGTGTATCAATTGGCCTTTTTTCTGTACTTACATCTGCTATTTTGAGTGTATAAGTGTGTCCTAATATGAAGTGTGGCAAAATGCACTATGAGTACCCAGATGGTGCACTCTTAACAGTCAAAAAGCACTTAAAGATCGCCATATTTTCTACGTAGTGGAAGTCGCTGGACCACCAGTTATATTTGTCTTTATTTTTCGATATTTATTTATCATACCGCTATACTGCTGGGAAAATAAGCCACCATTAATTGAATTGGGTTAATTGAACCGTCTGTAAAGATTTGCTACTCCAAACAATAATGTTGCTAGCTGTTATGCTGCGTTCACACCGGACGCGATACGAATATTCGCTTCGCTCTAATCGCTCCTATCGCATCGCTCTAAACGCTCGAGTTTCACCGCGGCTGCCAGCTGTGTTTACTCGCATCATTCAAACAAGACGCGCTGGCTCGGGAGCTACAACTACAACAAAATGAACATATTTTACCGTGATTAAATTGTAATACACGTTTTTAAATGATGCCGAAGTAACAACATACTGATACCGGTTAGTAAAAACCATGAATTAATGCTTGACAAGTCTGCAGACAAGACGGCAGGCGAAAAACCTTTTAAAATGCTTGTTTTCTGAATGAAGAGAAGATCGGGTCGACCAGGCTAAGCTAACGTGGTATATGCTCATTCCACACTCATAACAACGACCTACAGACCTAAATAAACCAGCGACTGTATTCGCCATGACACAGACAGTCTGTGGTTTGTACTTGTTTAACTTTTGTCCAGTTTCTGAACAGATATGAGGAGCTGTGAGCTCTGTGTGCTAACAGCTAACGGCTGATGTTTTCTGGTTTACAGCAGGCTGAGATCCTCACCGCTGATTGGCTTCCGCGAGAACGCGTCACGTGAATTTGACGCTCGAGTTGAAAAAATTGAACTCTCGCGTTTGACGCGGCCCCCTTCAATCACCTCAATCGCGTGATTCGCGCCGCGTCCACCGCTTCATGCGCGCCGTCAGAGCGAATTTGCGTCTGTCCGCGTCTCTGCATTGACTTTACATGTAATCGCGCCGCCCCCAAACATCGCATCGCGTCCGGTGTGAACGCAGCATTAGCTGTCTAGCTAGCTTTCTGTTGTCACTTGCGCTGTTTGATTTAAGAGAACTCTACATGGATGAAATTAATCCACAGTTCAAAACAAAGCAGTTTGAAGTATTCCAATTGAGACACATCACTTGTGTTGTTGCCTACCTTCTCCAGCTGAGTCTTGTTGATGTGAGCCAGTTTCTCCCCAGTTTTCTCTGTCAGTTTGTAGTGAAGTTTCCCGTCTTTGTTACCTGAGTTGAACAGTCTGTCTGTATTCGTCCCCTGATTATTCCTTGTGTTCCCTTGTGGATTTGCTACCCTTGTTTAGTTTTTTGCTGCTTTTACTTTGTTTTGATTTCCTGCTTCCTCAGTTTTGTGGTTACCAGGTTTTTGTCATGAGTTTTGTAAAACTTGCTTTTGGTTATTTATAACTTCTTTCCTTTGGTTTCCGTGTTTGGGTTCACCGCCTGCTAAAACCTTGAAACCAGACATGACACAAAGATTTCAATTTCTTTGGCTTTATTGTCATTTGTGCATTAGCTTTAGTGTAGATATGTCAATTAAAAACTTGGGTCACAGGCTCCTCCAACAGTGCAACATATATATCGAAATAGTGCAAGAAGAAAGAGAGTGTGTTAAGAAAATGAAACTTTTTTCAAGATTATGACACTGCCAGAGGAGGGTAGTAGTGGAGTACTAATACTTTGTTACTGTACTTAAGTTCATTTTTCTGGTTTCAGTACTTTACTCCACTACTTATTTTTCTGACAACTCTTTACTTTTACTTCTTACATTTTGAACACAAATACCTGTACTTTTACTTCTTACATTTTCAAAACAGGTTTATGACTTTAGTTCTAATCTGTGTTTGGTGGTGTGATCATTATTATTTAGAGTCATTGCGTGCCTATTGATTTGAACACGATCCGTGTATCCATCACTTCCTGGTCTTCTCTAAAGAAGAAGGACCAATGAGAACTTTGTCATTTTGCCGTTGTTCAGCATGGAAACATTCATTAGCTAACTGACATTATTGTTCTATTAATATAAAGTGAGGTCAGGTACTCTTTAAAACAGTTGGTACTTATGGGTATTTTTACTTAAATACATTTCGAAGCCCATATTTCTTTACTTTTACTTGAGTAAAGAGTATTTTTAAACACGAGTATCTGTACTTCTACTTGAGTAAAGGATGTGTACTTTTGCCATCTCTGCTGTTTGCTTTCTCTATTGAACATGTTTCTCATCTCTAATCTTCTAGGCGAACCTCCGAAGGAAATAGGCTGTGAGTTCTGCGGGGAATACTTTGAGAACCGTAAAGGCCTCAGAAGCCACGCCCGATCCCACCTGCGTCAGATGGGAATCACCAAGTGGTCGGTCAACAGCTCGCCCATCGACACCCTGAGAGAAATCATCACGAGACGAGGCCTTCCTTGTGCTCTTCCTCTGAAACCTCTCAAAACTCCCCCTCCTTCCTCTCCTGGACCCCCTCGTTCCCCCTTGCCCACCTCCTCCTCTCCTTCCTCCTCGTCTCCTTCCTCCTCCCTACTCAGCCTTTTCCCCCTCGCCTTCGCCAGTCCTCTTCAGTCTAAATTCTGCTCCACTCCCGGCTCTGACAAGGTGTTCCCCCTCAACCTGGGTAATATATTTATAATTTTAATGTAATTTAGATCACTTCTGAAAACCCACCTCTTCTCCTTAGCGTCGTGACATCTTGTAGATTGTTGCTTTTATTGCTTTTAAATTGTCTATTGTTTTTACTTGTACTTGTTTATGGTGTGTGAGCTGAGCTGTGTGATTTGTTTTATGTTTTGTGTGTTTATTTGACTGTACGGCACTTTGGTCCTGAGGTTTTAAAGTGCTTTATAAATAAAGCTGTATTGTATTGTATCAGTGATTTTCAACCACTGTGCTGTGAGAGATCGCCAGGTGTGCCGTGGGAAATTGGCCAATTGAACTTAATTTGAAAATGTATATTTAGTTGCTGCAAATAATTTGCCATTGTTGAGACGTGTGGGTAAAGGGGACAATTATGCAAAATACACTTCTTGATGTCTTTTATACATAAATATGTGTCCCCGGTGAGTCAGGGAACTCACGCACCCTCTCTCTTTTCCTCCGTACCCAAATCTCTAAAAACGGGGGTACAACGGAGCTGATCCAGATTTGCGTCAGATATGACGTAATATCGGAAATGTGGACCCACGGCACTATCAGAAACATTGCTATCAGAAACAATGCCCGACTGTTTTGGACGTAATATGGTCTTTGTTTAAATTAGCAAGCATCGCTAACACTCAGAGCTAACTTTTACTGGAGAGAATATGTGTAAAAAAGCAGGAAATAAAAAAAAAAGCACTCACCTTGTGGTAAACCAGCAAGAGAAAAAGCATTTGAGCTCCATACTGTTTCAGAAATAATCCTTGATGTGGTTTGGAACATGATGGCATTTAGTCACGGCAGCATTTAACTGTATCTGCTGGGTAATTCTGAGCAGGCATTAGCTCCGCCTCCTCTTCTTTTTTTTCAAGCTAAGGCAAGGCAAGGCAATTTTATTTATATAGCACCTTTCAGTACGCGACAATTCAAAGTGCCTTACAAAATAATAAACAAAAGACATTTAAGAATAAATAAAGCATAAACACATTATTAAATGGCATTTAAAAACAGGCACAAAAAAGCAAAGATAATGAAATAAATCAACACAGCAGGTACAGAACACATGAATAAAAGGCATACTGCAGTGTGAGTATGAACAGCTCACTTAAAAGCAGTGGCAAATAGATATGTTTTTAGTTTGGTTTTGAAAATAGGAAGTGTTTCAGCGGACGTGCACGATTCGGGCAGTTCATTCCAGATTGTCGGGGCATAATAGCTAAACGCTGCTTTTCCATGTTTAGTTCTTATTCTTGGAACAGAGAGCAGACCCGTTCCAGAAGACCTGAGACACCTTGATGGTTCATAGTTGTGCAGGAGATCGTTTATATACTTCGGTCCTAAGCCATTTAGTGATTTAAAAACGATCAATAGTATTTTAAAATCAATTCTTTGGTCGACTGGAAGCCAGTGTAAAGACTTCAGAACCGGACTGATGTGATCCACTCTTTTAATGTTTGTGAGGACTCGAGCAGCAGCGTTCTGAATCAGCTGCAGCTTTCTGATGGATTTTTTTGTGAGCCCTGTGAAGACACTATTGCAGTAGTCCAGTCTACTGAAAATAAAAGCATGGACACAAGCATTTTCTAAATCCTGTTGCAACATTAGTTTTTTAATCCTAGATATGTTCTTCAGGTGATAGTATGCAGACCTAATAACTGCTGTAATGTGACTGTTAAAATGCAGGTCTGAGTCCATCACTACACCTAGATTTCTAGCTTTATGAGTTACTTTGTAGTCTGCCGACTGAAGCTCTGCGATTACTTTTAATCGGTCCTTCTTTGCTCCAAAAACAATGATCTTAGTTTTTTGTTTGTTCAATTGGAGAAAGTTCTGAGTCATCCAGTCATTGATGTGCTCAATGCACTTGCTCATTGTTCTAATCGGAGAATAGTCTCCCGGTGTAATTTTAAAATAAATCTGGGTGTCGTCTGCATAGATGTGATAGCTTAGATTACTGTTTTTAATAATTTGAGCCAGTGGTAGCATATAGATATTAAAAAGCAAAGGTCCTAAAATGGAGCCTTGAGGAACCCCGCATGACATATTTGTCATGGTTGATTTGTAATTGCCTTTTGAGACAAAGTTTGTTCTGTCCTTTAAGTAGGAACTAAACCAATTTAGAGCTGTTGCTGAAACTCCCATCCAGTTTTCTAGACGGTCTAGCAATATGTTGTGGTCAACAGTATCAAACGCAGCGCTGAGATCTAATAATACTAACACTGATATTCTGCCACTGTCTGTTTAAATGGATGTAATTTAAGACCTTAACAAGATAAGTCTCAGTGCTGTGGTTTGGTCGAAAGCCCGACTGAAACACATCAAAACCGTCAGTTAAAAACATGAAATTACTCAACTGTTGAAAAACAACTTTTTCAATCAATTTGCTTACAAAGGGAATGTTTGATATTGGCCTGTAATTATTCATTACGGTTGCGTCTAGGTTATGCTTTTTTAGGAGCGGTTTAATTACTGCAGTTTTCAGGGCCTGTGGAAATACACCCGAACCTGCAAGGAACCCGAACCTGCAGTTCTCAAACAGGCCTTGAATAGAGGGATATGAGGGATTTCTAAAATGCATGATCTGTTTGGTATTTTTGAACAATACGCATCATAGACATGTTTTTAATATATTTTTATATTTCTGAGACCCATAATGTATGCCTTAAAATAGCATGATAGGAGACCTTTAAGGAAGTAGTGAGCTCGTGCCAGGATAAATGAGACTTGGATTCTACTGCACGAGTTGTGTGAGAGTTTTGTAAATAGATGTTTTACATTGTTTTAGTTATACAGTCAGTGTTTCCCCTAGGCTGGAGTCATAGCAGCGGTGCTAAGGCACGCGGGCCCAGCAAAATGTGAGCGCGGAGCGCGTGCACCCCGCCAATATGTTTCTACAGTATGTGTCTGCCAGCACAAAAAAGGCTCTTTTGCTCAGGTGTATTTTGCTAAATCACCTTTATTGAACATACAGTAACACAAATACTACACATCCACATAACAAACAATCAAAACAAAATGTATGCAATTTAATTATTTTAACCTGCTTTATTTGGGGGTGGACCTCACATCGTCTAGGGGGGTCCGGGGGCATGCACCCCCGGGAAGATTTTTTTTAAATATTGAAGTTAAAAGCATCAATCTGGTGCACTTTGAGCACAAAATGAATTTATGGATACAGCTCTCAACACTCAGATGAAAGAGAGCTGTATACTTTTCAATAATCCAAACATCTTTAGAATATGATCACAACCAATAACAAATCATTTAAACTTGTTTATTCTTATCTTATGTTACCTATAGTTAGTATTCTTTATTTTTATTTATGCATATTTTACTAATCACTCTCCTTTTAAACTGTTTTTTTTACTGTCCTATCGTACACATTGGAATGATTTATTACTTTATTTTTTTACAACTATATTAAATAGATAAAGGTGTGCTCTCTCGCTCACTCTGTCTCGCTCGCTCACAGAGGCTGTGTGCTCCTCCGTGGCGATGACGCGAGCGCCACGTATTATTTTAATGTATACAAAACAAAAAAAATACATGCTGAATGTATATAGGGGAAACACTGACAGTTAATAAAGTTGTTCTGTTGTTAAACATAGCTCCCGATTAATCAATACTTTTTTCTGTTTTGTTTCTTGAAGAATTAAAGGTAACAAGGCAGGAGTCATTTCTATTAAAAGGTCATTTTGTGGGTGTAGTGTTCCTTTAATGGGTGTTCATAATATAATATCATACCTCTCACTCTTTGTGATTGATTTGAATGATGCCAGCATGAACCATATTTGAGTGTTATTTTGCAGTTCAATTATTCATATTACGTTTTATTTTTCAAAAGTAACTCAATCTGACTAAAGTTGTCCATAGTCTGATTTTGAATCAGTTGTGTGTCATTTTTTCTCCTCAGAGGAACCGCTTCCTTCAGTGATCCAGAGCGTGAGTAATGTCCCATCACTCTGACTCCACCCAGTGCAGCTTTGACTCAGTAGATTTAGAAGACTGAAAATAATCTCCTTCCTGAACATTATTCATGATACAAACATTTTTTGGTCTCGGATAGTTTTCTTACAGAAATAATCTGATCACGCCAAGTTAGGTACACATACTGTATGTTCTAAGGCATGTTATTTATGAATAGTGTTAATAATTTGTGTTACGTCTGTCTGGAGGGGAAATTATAGCACATTCTTCATGAGTTGTTTTCTAACATTCAGAAAGAGAAATTCACAATACTGATGCAAAAATATAGATAGTGATTCTTACTCTTTTATACCAAAATAAAAACATGCAACTGGTTAAACTGCCACTCAGTTGTTAAATCAAGACGCCTCACGTAATTGTTCTACCACAGCCATTTAAAGAGTTACCTAGGAGGTCAAATAATGTCATGAATCAAACACGCTGTTTATACAAAAAGAAAATGGTTTTGTGATGAATTGGATAAACAATAATAATTGTACTGATACGTTGTGCGTGACATGGCCGATGTTCTCTTACCACATCCACTCTTGTAAAACACTGAAACTGACGAGATGTAAAAAATAATCTGTAATCATTCCAGCTGAGAAATTGCTCTTTTGCCCCATTAACATCTCCTTTGATTTTACCAGGTGGAAACGATGGCGTCTGTCATAGAGCTGCTTCTGGAAACACTGAAAGATTTGAGTGACCAGGATTTACAGAGTTTTAAGAGGGTCCTGAGTCAAATTCTCTCTGACAAAGGCCACCCAGACATCTTACCAAGATGGCTCATGATGAGTGACAGGCAGGACACAGTGTTTTCTTTGGTGCGAGATCACGGCGATCACAGACTGCTGGAAATGACCACTGAGGCTTTTGAGAAGATGAACAGGACTGATCTGGTGCAGAGGCTGTCACAAAGCTGCTCAGGACCCAAAAGTAAGACAAATAAATCACAAACATCTTTAAATCATCAAACCTGTTTATCCTAAATTAATAAGCTCTGTATTCTTCTTTTTAAGTTTTAAATATAGAGGAAACATAGATTTACAATGTATTTACAGTACCAGTCAAAAGTTTGGACACACCTTCAAATTCAAAGTTTTTTAATTTATTTAGTGGGAATGCTGATACAGCATTCCCACTATATGTTATGCTACGGACGAAAAGTTTATTATTCCGTCCAATTATTTTGTCCGTTTTCTCCTCCCACATTCAACATCGCAGAAACTCCGTTCAAACATCAAAATGTTCAGCTCGGTCGGGAATCGACTGCTATTACTTTTATCATTCATAACTTTCATAATTCCAGAGATACATCCCATAATTCATCACATTTTTAACATTTGAACTTTAACATTGCGCAGCTCGTTAAGTTAGAGTGCGTGATGTCACAGCTAGAGGGTAGGAAATCTTGAAATTTCCCTTCATATATTTTTTTAAAACTGCCATAATTCCCAAACCCTACATTCCTGAGACATCATTTTTCATGATAAACGTAGGAAAACATCTCGTAGCTTGAAAAATGACAAATAATTAAGCAAAATAATTCCTCACTGCAGCAGCCGCACACCTTTCTTAAACTGCCAAAAAGGCCACATTATTAACCCGAAAGTACACAAATATTACACTTCAGATACTCAACTTCCTTCACATGCTTCACGTTTTGAAATTTCACAGATATCTGTTATCGTTCTTCCACAAAACGTTCACATGTAAGAGGTTCATCTCTCATTCAGAACAATGAAACCTTTGAAGTCTAGGCACCTCGTTAGCTCAACGATGAACACCTGTGCAATGGAACACGATGATGTCATCACTCCAACTGACAGCAGTCAGTTCTAACTGTTCATTTCATACTCACACACACACTCTCTCTCTCTCTCTCTCTCTCACAAACTCTCTCTCTCTCTCTCTCTCTCTCTCTCTCTCTCTCTGTTCAAAAAGTGCTAAAAATGCACATGTGTGCTAACAATCCAGCCGTGAAGACATCTACGAGACAGTTTTGAGATTTCTTCAAATGCCGTGGCCATGGCAACACAATGCTCGCCATGAAGCACGATGTCGCTGTAAGTCCAATGGACACGGTCCGATCGTCCCCCAATCTTCACTTGTATATCACCGGTCCATGCCTCAACAGCTCTACGCCAAATCTGAGATCTCACCATATGCCGTTTCCATGGAAACGCATCCCTCGCCATAAAAGACGATGTCGCTATAACTCCTATGAAAATGTTCAAAAAGTGCTAAAACTTCACATGTGTGCTAACAGTCCAGCCGTGAAGACATCTACGGGACAGTTTTGAGATTTCTTCAAATGCCGTTGCCATGGCGACAGACCACTCGCCATGAAGCACGATGTCGCTGTAAGTCCAATGGACACGGTCCGATCGTCCCCCAATCTTCACTTGTATATCACCGGTCCATGCCTCAACAGCTCTACGCCAAATCTGAGATCTCACCATATGCCGTTTCCATGGAAACGCATCCCTCGCCATAAAAGACGATGTCGCTATAACTCCTATGAAAATGTTCAAAAAGTGTTCAAACTTCACATGTGTGCTAACAGTCCAGCCGTGAATCAAATAAAATCAAATAAAATCAAGGTTTATTTATAAAGCACATTTAAAAGCGATTTTTGGTCGGGCCAAAGTGCTGTACATGTAATAACTACAATCACATAAAAACACATTTCTATAATCACAATAAAAGACAATAAATTACTGTTTAATAACAGCACAACTATACCAAAACAACCTCAGAATCACTGAGCTAGTGCCTGCATAAATGAGTTTGATTATACTGCACAAGTTGTTCGGGAGTTTGTAAATGAAGGTTGTATATATGTTAAGGCTAGCAGGGAACCCAGGAGCAGAGCAGAGGCAGGAGTTTCAAGCACAATAATGAAGTTTAGGGGGGTCCAAGGGAGAGGGGAACGGAGGTCTGACCAGGTTGGAGAGGGCAGGGAGAAGAGCCAGGAGGAGCGGGGACAGGGTCCAATGTTGGAGGTGGTCTGGAGACAGGAGGTAGGAGTCAGGCTGGCTTGAAGCTGCAGGCACAGGAGAGCAGAGGTGATTGGATTGTGGACACCTGGTAGCCTGGCTCCCACACACCTGTCTCCACTCCTGTGATCACACACACACACACACACACACCCACACACACACACACACACACACACACACACACACACACACACACACACACACACACACACACACACACACACACACACACACACAGAGGGGAGGGGAGGGGGGGAGAGTAAAACTAGGCAGAGGTGGAGGCCATGACAATATAGATGCAGTTATCTAGCTTATGTCGTTATCCTGTTGTTGAACAATTAATAAAGACTTTTGATTCTTCGTAACTTAACCTGTTAAGCCCGAGAGACCCCGGTACCGGGGCACTGCCGCAACATCTTGCAGGAAACAGTGTCTGAGGGCATGTTCATTTAATAAACTATGAATGTTTTATATCCATGTAATGGGAAGAAACTCATCTAACTGATCATTTTTATTTAGTTTTCAAAATAAAACCCACAATGCTAACACTCAGCCTCTGAATTAGCAACGAGCGAAAAATACTAACAGATTACTGCACCGAAAATCACTCGCAAAACCTTATTATTTATCTTTTCACCACATCCATGACATCGATTCACATTGTGAGGTGACACAGAATCGATGGGTACCCTCATTATCACTGAATTATACGGATTTGCGACGTTATAAACAAAAACAGACATCAAAACAGGTGACGCTAGGTAGCTAAAAATGCTAACAAGGTTACCTTGGCTCTGTAGTCTCTCCAAAGTGGTCTTCAATGGCATTAAAACGATAAAAACGCTGCTGAAGTTAATCCATAGGTTAATCCAATGTGTCTGTGTCCCTTTGAAATGATTTCTGATAATCCATGATCAATAAGACGGATAATCCATGCTATTCCGTTTCTAGATGTCAGAGCTAGAATGTAGCTTCACTCTAATGCAAAATTCCATGCGCAAAGCCCTCACCTTTTCGTTTCACAATGAGTGTGTGTGGGGGACTCCCCCTTCGATTCTATTGGCTCTGACGGTCAGAAAGAGGTGTCAACCATCAAAATCGAGCAAAGGGGGCCAGAGATATGGAAAATCCACCCAAATGACCCCAGAAGTGGTTTATTTTTGCTAAATCGCTCTAAAAAGGTCAAATGTCACTTGTTTTTCATCAATCTTGATACAGGGTACTTATTATATGTTGTACTTTGGATTCCTAAAGCTTTTAGTCTACTAACCCATCATCCAAGGGTAGTTTTCACTATAAGTAAAAAATAATTTTTGGACGGACACTATAATTTACAGTTTTTTACTATGTCAAATCTGAATTTTCTTTAAAATAAAAAACATCTATATTGATTCTGACTTTTCTACATCCAACTCACAGGTTTATCATTACTTTGAAAAAAAAGATTATTAATTGAACCCTTTTAGAAGGGAAGATATGGTCATTTGTTCTGGGAATGTCATTTTTAAGGTTGAGACCTGAAAAACAGGCTCAGGGCTTAACAGGTTAAAGGTGGGGTAGGTAAGTTTGAGAAACCGGCTCGAGATACACTTTTTGTTATATTCCATGGAATGCTCTTAACATCCCGATAGCAATGAATATCTTAAGTGCTTTGACAAAAAATCCATTAAAAAATGTCATCTGTGGAAGCCGTGGTACTGTAAAAAGCACGACCAGTCATTTTAGCCGGCCCGGCTAAAATAACTGGATGGCCTACCTGCCTGTCAGCTTTCCATCTGTGCACAAACTTATCTCGTGCCCTCATTGGTCATGTGCGCATTCGTGTGTGTTGGAGGAGGGGCTCTGTAAGGAAGTGGCAGATTTTTTCCGGCTGTGTATTTTCAAATTCTAGCTCACTCGTGCTGGTTTCTCCAAAATTACCTACCCCACCTTTAAGTGGAGTAAGGAAAAAAAACAAAAAACCTTCCTTTT